TCGTGGAATGAGGTGTAACGGTAGTTCGAATTAGAGAGCCTAATTCGAACTACCTACTCCGTGCCGCGTGTAGCCGCGGACACGGAGTCTGCGCTAACGGGGATTTAAAAATGGCGGCGTCCGGCAAGATGCAAATGAAGCCCGTGATATTTAAATCCCGGGCTTCATTTGCAACTTTGATTGCCTACATTAGCCACCCTAGTTCGAACTAGGGTGGCAGTGTAGACATACCCTTGTATAGTTACTTTTGCTGGGTATAAACCAAATAAGGTGGAGGGATATAAATGATTAGATAATCATGTTACAGCATGCTAGGATTGGTTAGTTAAATTTCAGTACAATGATTATGATTAAGATATAGCTGAGAATATTACTATATAAATTAGGGGCAAATGGAAACTAAGTTGAAAAAATGTGAACTGGAAACTGGATTCATGCTTGCTGGAAGCTAACCCCAATAAACATTGACTTGTTTATTGGACTTGTAGTATTGCTGTTCTCAATTCATATTAGAAGGACCAGGGAAGTGAGAGGGTGAAGGGATAAGACTTCTAACACTGCTCAGTACCTTAAGGGAAAGAAGGTCAAAGAATTGGAAGAAAAGAAAGGAGTAAGAGGTAGCTGATGCACTTCCAAATAAGACATCACTTAGGCTACGTTTGCATTGCATCCCTCTTGGGGAAAAGCCTATGCAAATGAAATGCGGATTAGCATATTGCCACGCTTCATTTACATAATTAATTAGGGCCTGTTTGTGCGCATGAGGCTTTTGCGCAAAAAGGAACCATCTACACAGCTCCTTTTTGTGCAAAAGCATCCTCTTGCGCAAGAGCTGTTCTTCCTCATTTCCTTTGTTCCCTATGCCCTGTAAAGGCCAGGGCTAAAATGTAATAAATACAGTTTGGAGATGCAGTGCATTTCTACCATGGAAAATCTCTCTTGAAGGGAAATTCCTACCTTTTATTATTTCAAAATAGGCTTTGATAAATTCTAGGCTGTCACATAATTAAAACAGGTAATTGTGATTAATTGCACAGATTAAAAATGATGAATCATGTTACTAATCACATGGTATTCTAGCACTGTTTAAAAGTGTATTTAAATATTTTCAGATGCTTTCTGTATTTTCAAATATATTGATTTCTATTGCAACACAGAATACAAAATGTATAGTGCTCACCTTATATTTTTGATTACATATATTTGCTCTATAAAACCGCAAACAAAATAGAATTTTTCAATTCTCCCATTACAAGTACCATAGTGCAATCTTAACATGAAAGTTGAAGTTACAAACATAGAATTAGGTGCACAAAGAACTGCATTCAAAAATAAAACAATGTAGAACTTTAGAGCCTAAAAGTCCACTCAGTCCTTCTTGTTCAGCCATCACCCAGTCAAGTTTGTTTACATTTTCAGGATATAATGCTGTCCACTTCTTGTTTACATGTTACTAGACAGTGAGAATAAGCATTTGGATGACACTGTTATAGCTGGTGTTGTAAAATATTTATATGCCAAATGCACTAAAGATTAATGTGCCCCTTTATGCTTAAACCACCATTCCAGAGGACATGCTGATGACCGATTCTGCTTGACACTTATCCAAAACAGTGTGGACCAATTCATGTTCATTTTTATTATCTGAGTCAGATGCCACCAGCAGAAGATTTTTTTTTCCTTGTTTGGATTCTGTAGTTTCTGAATCGGAGTTTTGCTCTTTTAAGATCTCAAAGCATTATTCCCACCTTGTCCCTCTCAGATTTTGAAAGCTATCTTTAAAAATCTCACATTGGTACCATCTTTGATTCTTTTCGAATCTAAAGAGAAAGTGTTTTTAAGATGAACACTTGCTGGATCATTATCTGAGACTGCTATTATGGTATATGAAATATACGACGGAATGTGGGTAAAACAGCAGGAGGCATGCATTTCTCCTCCCAAGGAGTAAAGTCACAAATTTTAATAATAATTTTTTTAATGAGTGTTATCAGCATGAAAGTGTCTCCTTACGACTGGTGGCTGAAGCATGAAGAGGCACATGAGTGTTTAGCATATCTGGCATGCAAATACTTTGCATTGCTGGCAGCAAAAATACATGCCGACATTTGTTCTTGATTTAAGATGACATTTTAAATAAGCAGGCAGCATTATCTCTTATAAATGTACATACACTTGTTTATCTTAACAGCTGGCTGAAGAAGTAGTAGTACTGAGTGGACTTGTGGGCTCTAAAGCTTTGTACTCTTTTGTTTGAGTGCAACAACAACAACAACAAAACCCTGCGGTTGTATATTG